GGGGGGGATTCTTGTTTTGTTGGGGTGCTGCTGCTGCTGCTGCTGGTGTTGCTGCTTTTGATGCAGTTCATGCTAGTGCTTTTGTTGCTGCTGGTGTTGCTGCTGCTGCTGATGTTGCTGCTGCTGCTGCTGCTACTGCTGCTGCTGATGTTGCAAATGGTTGTATATGCACTAGCATATATAAATACATATATACATAATATAAATTTATATAATATATATATAATATATATTTATATTTTATATTAATATTTATACTTATGCATGTGTTTTATTTGGGGTGTCTATGCAGGTGGTGGCATCGGTGACGCGGATATGTATGTGGGTGTGCGTCGAGATATAAAGGCTGGCGATATGAATTCATATTTATATAAATCTGATAAAATAGGCGATGATTTTATATTTATTTCGACGGGAAATACAATATTTCGTCGTTTTTGTAATAAAAGAATAATAGAGAACCATGGCGCATGCACGTTCTATATACTTATACATCCATCATCACCACCAGCATCATCAGCAGCAGCAGCAGCAGCAACAGAACCAGCAGCATGTAGTTTTAAATTAACTACGAATATACAAACCACAGATATTGAATTCATACAACCAGGACAAAATACACTCGGACTGCTGCAGCAACATATGCACAAAACCCTCGTCTTCGCTGATCTACAACCAAACGTAGATTATCATATCTCATGTAGGGTTTAGGGTTTAGGGTTTAGAGTTTGGGGTTTAGGGTTTGGGGAGTTATTGGCTGCGAATGGGGGACCAGGGTTTACGGGGTCGGGGTTGGGGTTTAGGGTTTAGGGTTTAGGGTTTAGGGTTTAGGGTTTTGTTGTTCAGTGAATGTTGAGGATGGAGCTGACGCGTACGTGGCGTTGCAGAGAAATCTAGGGTTTAGGGTTTAGGGTTTAGGGTTTTGTTGTTCAGTGAACGTTGAGGATGGTGCTGACGCGTACGTGGCGTTGCACAAAGGTCTAGGGTTTAGGGTTTAGGGTTTAGGGTTTAGGGTTTAGGGTTTTGTTGTTCAGTGAACGTTGAGGATGGAGCTGACGCGTACGTGGCTGGCTCTGCATAAGGGTTTAGGGTTTAGGGTTTAGGGTTTAGGGTTTTGTTGTTCAGTGAACGTTGAGGATGGAGCTGACGCGTACGTGGCTCTGCAGAAGATAAGTGAATTAAAAGATTTGACGCCTTTGAGTGAGGGGTCGGCGCAGTGGTGGACGGACGGGCTGGAGGCATCTGGGGTGTACATACACCACAATAAACTAGCGATGCTTAAGAGAGAGATAGGCTGTACATTCCCTGCTGCTGCTGCTGCTGCTAAAAGGCAGAACAGCAGCAACAGCAGCAGCAGCAGCAGCAGCAGCAGCAACAAGAATAACACCAGCAAGGATAAAAGCACTAGCAGCAGCAAGAACAACAGCAACAACAACGACAGCAACAAAAACAGCAGCAGCAGCAACAGCAGCAGCAGCAGCAGCAGCAGCGGGGAGGCGAACGGTAAGAACGGAGGTTCTACAGCAGCTGTAGCAGCAGCACCAGAAGCAGCAGCAGCAGCAGCAGCAGCAGGAACAGCAGCAGCAGCAGGAGGATCAGTATCGGGTGTAATTCCTCTTTCTCGTTGTGTGTTGCGGATAGATATATCTTCTCCTCTATCTCAGCCTTTTAATATATTATTGGATGGCAGTCGAAGTATATCTTTGCCTGTTACGTTGCTAGCATCTGGTGCTCCTTCTCGTGGTGTTTTATATAAAAAAAATAAAATAGATTATTATAGACTCGATATACCACCAGGGTCACTTCTAAGTGACCCTGATGCTGTAATACAAATACTTATTGAAGCTAATAACTGTAAACCAGATGTCACTGTACAGTGGCCCGATAGATACACCCGAGTATTCAGATACCCAGCAGCAAGAAGAATTATATTAAAAAGAAAAGATAGAGAATGGACACCCGGATACTTCTTATTTCTCGTAAGTTTATTTATTTATTTATTTATTTATTTATTTATTTATTTATTTTTGTTTTTTTGTTTTTTTGTTTTTTTGTTTTTTTGTTTTTTTGGCTTTTTATTTGGGTGCGTGGTTGGTTCTGCATTCGTATATTTATATATTTCAATCGATAGAGCCGACGATAATTCTTTTTTATAAAATTAATTTAACTTATAATTAATTTATATATTTAATAAATTTGTTAGTTTATTTATGTATTTGTTTGTGTGTTTGTTTGTTTACCCATAGATATAGTTTCTTTCTTGTATCTATATATGTATATATGGATTCATCTTATATTCATATTTATAGATGTATATAAGTGAGTATAAATACAAAGATATGTTGTGTGTGTGTGTGTATATGTGTATACAGGTCCATGACCCTTCTTTATTAGATTCTTCTGTTTGTATTTATGAATTTGAGGTGTCTATACACCCCGCAACAGAAGAATTACTCTCCTCTGCACGGGTGCTGCATACGGGGGTGCCGGCGACGGGTTCAGTGCGTGGTGGTGTTCCAGCTCGTTTTGTATGGACATTAGATTACAGTAGTTTTATAGATAAAGTAATTAATAATAATAATAATAATAACAATAATAGTGGTAAGCAGGGGCCTGCTGCTGCTGCTGCTGCTGCTGCAGCAGCAGCAGCAAAACTCAGAAGTGACCTCCTGCTGCTGCGGGCTGTTGCTTTCAATCATCCTATCGATGTCTTCGTCTCCCGCATGCGTAAAGGGCAAACATTCCCAACACAAAAGTCAATAAAACCCTCAGCTGATGATCCTCAGCCAGAAGTTTTTAAACTGCAACCCTATGCTGATGACCCCAATACACTCTTTCTTAGAATCGGTAACACGCTCCAGGGTTTAGGGTTTAGGGTTTAGGGTTTGGAGGGATGCGGGGAGGAGAGGTTTAGCCCAGAGGGTCGAGGGTTTACGGGGATGTGGCTATGATTCTAGGGTTTAGGGTTTAGGGTTTAGCTGATGAGGGTTAGGAGAAGGGTTTCAGGGTTTATGGTTTAGCGTTACGGTGCTAATCATTGGAGAGGCGTTTCGTACTCTATTTTCTCCGCGGGTCTAGGGTTTAGGGTTTAGGGTTTAGGGTTTAGGGTTTGAGGTGTATGTACACAGGGCCGAGCTGGGGTTACCTAGGCGACGATGAGTATCAGTCCCCCTGCGGCCCCCGTACCCTGCGTGAGGCGGGGGGCCCCGAGGGGGGCAATTCAGATGAAGAGGGGCCCCTCTATCCTGTTGATAGATGTCAGCTGCTTATTTCAGTTTATGATAGACATGCAGATGGTATACAAAACCCTAAACCCTAAACCCTAAACCCTAATTTGAGTGGATTCATAAATACAGTCTCGGTTCAGATTGCTGCTGCTGCTGAGGTGTATGCATGTATGTATGCGTTTTCTTTTTTTAGGGTTTAGTGTTTTGTTTGGTGTGCTTATGTGGATGTTCGTTGCTGCTGCTGCTGTTTGTTTCTGCTGCTGCTGTTTGTTTTGCTGCTGCTGCTGCTTGTCTGGCTGCTGTTTCTCTTGCTGCTGCATTTGCTTCTGTATTTGTTGCTGTTTACATTGTTTATATTGATTATGTTGTTGGTGTTGTTTATACTGTAATATTTGTTTATTTAGTTTATATATTTTATATAGTTTATATTGTTGTATATGTTTGTATGTATGTATGTATGTATGTATATATGCACGCAGAGGAGGCATACCCTCGGGATACGGATTTTTCTTTGGTGATATTTTCTCATTCTGAGGATTATTTTATTTATATGAATTTTAATGAACCAATGGAAATATTATTAAATTCATTTTTACAAACAAAAGGAAAAAAAGTTTTTCTTCTTCCTCTAGATAATCCTTCTGCTGATATTTCTATTCGTCTCACTTCATCAGACCCAAAATTAATCAAAGAAATGAGTGCTTGGCTTGAATTCAATGAACGTCTGCTGCAAGACCCAAGTATACACACAAATATATAAATAAATAAATAAATATATATATATATATATATATATATATATATATATATATATATATATATATATATATATATATGTATAATTATGCTGCTGATGCTGATGTTGCTGCTGGTGGTGGTTGCTGATGCTGATGCCGCTTCTGGTGGTGCTGCTGATGCTGCTGGTTCTGGTGGTGCTGCTGCTGCTTCTGATGCTGCTGCTGCTGCTTCTGCTGCTGTTCCTGGTGGTGGTAGTGGTAGCGTTGGTGCTGCTGCCACTGCTGCTGCTGCTGTTGGTGATGGTGGTGGTGGTGTTGCTGCTGCTGGTGCTCCTGATTGTGTCGCTGCTGTTGCTCGTGTGCGGGCGGTGTTTCCAGCCCTGGGTTCCTGCTGCTGTTGGTGCTGTTTCTGCTGCTGCTGCTGCTGCTGCTGCTGCTGCTGCTGTTGCTTTTGCTGCAGTATGGGGCCTGTTGGCCTTGGCTTTGTTGCTGTATCGAACTCATTTCCTGTTTGCACTGCTATTCCTGCTGCTGCTGGTGCTGCTGTTCTCGCTGAAATCCTGTTTCTGTTTGTGTTTATTGTGTAAATACTTGTATATTAGGCCCGTATTCTGCTTCTGGTTGTTTGTTACCTGATGGTTCTGAGTTCTGCTGGATGGGGCGGAGTTATCTTCGCGGTGATCAGGGGGTCACCGATATTGAAATAAAGGCGTTGAGGAAAGCGCTGCATCTGAAACGAATTCTTTATATTGTTATAAAAGTTGATGCTGATAGAGACCCGGTAAGATTATATTTATTTATTTTATTTATTTTTATTTATTTTTATTTTTTTTTTTTGTTCGTTCGTTTCTTTCAGGTTTTGTGCATGTTTCTGTTGCTGTGGTTTCTTCATATTGCATCTGAAACGAATTCTGTATATTATTATAAGCATTGATGTTGATGGAGACCCGATAAGATTAAATTTATATATTCATCTATATATTTATATATTTATTCATTTATTTTTTTGTTTATTTATTCAGGGTTATGAACCTCTTATAGAGCTTGTTGCGCGTTACCAAGGAACATTTATCCCGCTGAGGGAGAACAGCGGCAGATCGATTTATTCTGTGGATCCCTCAAACCCAAAATTCTTTTCATATGAAGCATCGTAGGAAATGCTGCTGCTGCTGCTTCTCTTGCTGCTGCTGCTGCTGGTGCTGCTGCTGGTGCTTCTATTGCTGCTGCTGGTGCTTCGGTGCGGCAGCTGGTGCTTCTACTGCTGCTGCTGCGGCGGCGTTTTGCACTTCTATTACTGCTTCTATTTTCTCCACTCATAGTGCTGGTGTTCCTGCTTCTGTTGTTCTTTCTGCTTCTCCTGCTGCTGCTGTTGCTATAGTAGAAATTTCTCTTGTTTGTTGTTTGTTGCCCCGTTGTCGGTTTTTTTTTCTCCCTGTTTTTCTGTTTGTGAGTTTCTGTCTATTTTTTGTTTTTTTATTATCTGTATTGGTCTCTGATTCATTTATCTGTAGCCTTTGTCTCTTTTTCTATTTTTTTGTTTAGGGATGCTGGTGGTTATTTGGTGGTGACCCTGGATGCGGACTTGCGGGTTCAGTTGCTGGCGTCTGCTGCTGGTACTGATCAGCAGCAGCAGCAGCAGCAGCATGAGCAGCAGCAGCAGGAGGTGCAGCAGCTGAATGTGTATGTGCAATCATGCAATACAGAAACATTTGCACGGAACATGTGGGGAACTTCTTTGCGTCCATCTTCGACTTTATTTACAGATAAAGCTTTTCTAAATGAATATAATCAATTGGTTGCAGTTGTAGAGAATAACATGCATCAGCGTAACAGCCATATATGTCAGTATCGTATGGGTGTCTATTCAACAGATGCAGCAAATAGTACTCAAACCAGCCCCATCTTCTTTCGCATGCACGCATCGCTGCAACATGCAGGAAGCAGATTACTGCTTCCTCTTAATCACCCTATGCTGTTTTATCTCTCTTCTAAACCTCAAATACAACTACGGAACACAACTGAAGGATCAACAATGCTCGTTGCAGATTTCTTCCTTATTAAGGTGTGGAAGGGAGCAACAGACGCGAAACAACAACTCCTGCTCAATGTTCAGGTAAAATAAACAAATAAAAAATCAGAAAACAATAAAAAATAAACAATTAAATGCAAATAAACACTGAATCATAAACAATAAATAACTAAACATTCATAAACAATAAGCATTAGTACTAAATGATGTGGAATTCATCCGTTTGCCACCTCATAAACTCATCCATCACTTCATAAACTTATTCATCAATTTATTCATCAATTTACTCATCAATTCATTTATCAATATAATCATCAATATATTCATCACTTATTTCTTCAACTTATTCATCAATTTATTCATCAATTATTTCTTCAATTTTTTCATCAATATATTCATCAATTCACTCATCAATTCATCCATCAGTTTGTGTATTCATCAATATATTCATCAAGTCTTCATCTTCGTATTCATAAAATATGAATACATGAGTATATAAACAAATGCATTTGAGGGTAAATGAATTGGTGGAAATGTGAATAAATAACTTTATGAACAAACAAATATACGAATACATGAATTTCTGAATAAATAAATGAATTGACAAACAAACAACATTGTGGATAAACAAAAACAAATGGGTGCATTTACGTACACGCATTTGTCTGTTTGTTTATATATTTCTTCATTTACTTTTGTACCAATCCTCGCCTCGCGCTTTGTTTTTTTTCCGTTTTTGCTGGTTGTGCATCTATCTGCATTTTTTCAGCAGTTTAAGAGGCATTTGTTTGTATGAAGAGGAGCGAAATGCATTTGCTTGAGAATAGCCGTTTGCATTGATATAAAGAGTAAATTGTTGCATGAATTTCTCTTTTTCTTGTGTTTTGTTTTCATATTTTTTCAGGTTTGCAGGGGTGGTGTTGGCTTTGCTTGGGGGGTCAGCAGAATTCGCGTGCAAGAGGAGGCCGAAACCTCTCCCTGGTTTCTAGGCCGCCTCAAGTCCATCGATAGAAACCTCTCACAAGAAGTGTTGAGGAAGCAGGGACTCTTGAGTCAGGTTTGTTGATGAAAATAACTGGAAAACACTAGCAGCAGCAACAGCAGCAACAGCCAGACCAACTAAATACACGGTTGCTGCTTATATCCTCTTAGTTTTATTCAACGACTGTCAACGCATCAAAATCGGTAGATGAGGCAGATGTAGCACCAACGAGACGCGTACACACACACACATACACACACACACACACACACACACACACACACACACACACATGCACGTGTATATATATATANACACACACACACACACACACACACACGCGTATATATATATATATATATATATATATATATATATATATATATATATATATATATAGTCAACCCAGAACACCAGTTGCAGCAACAAAAGCTGCAACAGCAGGACCTGCACTAGCAGGACCTGAAGCAACAGAATCTGCATTCTGTGTGTTTTTGATCTGTATGTATGTTGTGTTGTGTATTTATGTATATATTTCAGGTTGTTCCTGCATCTACTCTGAGTTACGTGGGGGCATCAATAAGGGCTCAGCGTCGTTTGCGTAATGAGGGTTTTGTGTTTTCTAGCAACAGCAGTTTCTCGATGCGCGTGGACTCGCTGGATTCTGCAGTTTGTTTGGGGGCAGCAGACATCGATGTCAGGTGGAAACTGCGTTCATCTCATTGGCTGCCAGAGCTGGGGGGAGAACCACCAAAAACAGTGACGGTTGATATCTCCTGGAGTCCGCTCATCAGTGCGCCTGCGAAAGATACCATTGGCATCGACAAGTAATTGCTGCTACACTTGCTGCTCTTGCTGCTGCTGCTGCTCCTGCTGCTGCTGCTGCTGCTGTTCTTGTTGCTGCTGTGGCCAAAGGCGCGCGTTGCTTTCTTGTTGCTGCTGCTGTGTTCATCGTCTCGCGCTGGTGTCGCGTTAAGTCTGCTTATGAATTTGTGGTTTGTTGTTTGTTTAATGCATTTTCTTTTTCTTTTTTTCTCCTTCTTTTCTTTGCTGCAGAACATCTGCGGAGTTTGCGTGCTCGCCTGACGCTGTGGCTTCTCGGGGCTCAGTGGTTCCTGAAGATTCCGTTGTGTATGAGCTGTTCATTGCAAAAGCAAACAAAGCACAAGGCAACTGGCTAGCCAGCTGTGGGATGTATCAGGACGCCTTCTTGCTGCAGACAGCAGAAAAGATCATCGTTCCCCAGGGCCGTCTCTGGCACTCCATCACCGTCGACTTTGATGATGAATCAGCATACAAGTGCGGCCGGCTAAACCTCCCCTGCAGATACACGCCAGTGGTATATACGTGAATACAGCGGAAACTCCGTAGGGGTTCGCACACATGAAAGGAACCTGAGGTGTACATACACCAGAAACAAGCGAGCTGCGCATACACTCAAGATACACGCATGCAGGTGATGTTTGCGTTCTTTTCTTGTGCAGAATTGGGCTCGTTGCGAAGTACTTCAGAGAGGGCTCCGCGGGTCTGGCTCAGCCGTTTGCATATCGCTATACCGAAGTATCCCCGGACGCCCGACTCGAGCTGTTTCGTTTCGGGGGAGTTTCTGTTTTTTTGCTGCTTCTCCTCGTCGCTGTTCTCGTTGCCGTCGCTTGGAAATTCATAAACAGGGGAGGCCGAGTGACTCAAGCCTTTAGACAGACCTTGGCGAGCGTTAGAAGGAGAAAGGCGTTTAATAGACAAGGTTAGACAACGAGGCTCCTTCGTCTCAGTTTAATCCTTCTCTTTCTTTTGCTGCTGCTTAACAGCTGACGATTGGGCTCGAAACGTGCCTTCATGTGCTCACAGATACATGCATGCATGCATTCATGTATGCGTGTGTGTATGTATGCATGCATGCGTGTATGTATGGATGGATGCATGCGCGGGCATGCATGCGCGTGCACGCATTCATGCATTTATGGGGATGTGTTCTGCTTGACTGCATGCACCTAGTAGGGCATGTGCTTTGCGGGTTGTATTCCGTGCGTATGTGGTTGTTTTTGTTGATTGTGTTTCTTTTCAGAGGGGCTGGAGTTGAGAGCAGGGGCCGCCAAGAAGTCCGCCTACGGCCCAGTGCCCACCACTATAGGCTGCGTGGATGATGCCCTTATGCACGAGGGCGACCCTGCAGACAGTCCGCTTGAATCGGCAGAGCTGAGCGAAATGCCAGGGACCCCGTGGCTGCCCCGTGAGCGCCTATGATGGGCGTACATGCACCTGGTTTACAGTGTGTATGTTTGTACGTACACTCCAAAGGGTGTATCTACATAGATGTATGCAGTCCCGTTCGTACAGTTCAGAGGGCAGCCGCTGCAGTTGTTGTTACCCCTAAGGCGCCCTGAGTAGCGGCCACAAACGACAGCAGAGGACAGTCGAGGCTGAAATTCAGGGAATACGGCGGGGTAACCCATCAAGGCATCAAGGGTTCTCTGTTCTAGGTGAACAGATACCCATCGATTTGCCCTTTTACAGAATAATGGGCTTAACAAACACTTGACACTGCTTGGCTTTTTTATACTTCATGCATTCAGCGGCTTTCACTGAAGACCAGCAGAAGCAATGCAGGAGTCACAAAATTGGGAGGGGATTCGGGTGTACCGACAGAAAACGTGCAGTGACTGTTGCCACACAGCTGTAGACATCGCTGCATTCAAAACAAGCGTTGATCTTTATAGATATGAAACGGTTTATTCGCCACAGTCAAGTATATGCGCAGTTGCAGTGAGAAGGCCAATTTCTGGCACAGCATCTCTCACATCATTGAAGTAGCAAGAATATGCAACAAAACAATGTTAGTGAGAATATTGATGCTAAACACGCAGCCTCCGCCGGGCTTCCCGTACTCAGTTCAGGTGTATAGGCAGCTGACATAGGTACTGCATATGAAACCGATAGGCAGTAAATCTGTATTATATCATCCCGTCAGGTGTACAAGCGTACTTTTATCACCTTAAGTTGAAAATGGCAACGACAACAAACAGAACAGCAGGAGAGTTCCTCTCGCAGTGTGAGTGCCGACGCCTTTTTCTCTCTTTTGTTTCGCTGATGTCCGTTGACTCATTTCCAAACATCAGACCTCGAGATCAGCGGTTTCAGTGCAGAAAACGGAGCGTTTATGGTCTGCAAAGAGTTTTTAGATAATGCGGTGGACGCCTGCTCAAAGGCAACTGCAAATTCGCCTCGCTTTCCACTTTTTCGCGAAGGGGAAGTTGAGCTCGAAATCGCCTTGGACGGGCCGTACCTCTCCGTGACCTGCAGAGATAATGTGAGATGTAGCTTGCAGTAAACTGTATTTAATGCATTTATTCAACGGCAGAAACATTATTTTATGCATTTAAGCAGTTCAGTGGACGTTACGTAACACATTTAATCAGTGCAATAAGCATTCTGTAAAGCACCTAATCATGTATCCTACTGACTATGAAACGCGATATTCAACAACAGGGAATCGGAATTGACTGCGACTCAGTGGCTGCCCTGGGGGAAGTGTTTTCGTCTTCAAAGGCAAATGACGAAAAGACGGGAGGAGAGTTCGGCATTGGGTTGAAAGCGGTAAACTTGAATCTTTTTGCACATCGTTTCCGTGTTCGGAGGATCAATTAATTCTTTCAAGATTATGTTGTATTCAAAAAGGGATTTAGCTAAACCGGTCAATGTGAAAATGAGGTATCTCTTTTATATTTGCAAGAGCTCATGAGGTGGAAGAGCTGCAAAATATTTTTGCTGTTTAGAATGAATGACGAAGAAGTCTGGACGTTCGGAATGATCCTCGGCGGAGCTTCATCTACTCCTGAAATTATGAATTTCTCCGGTTAGTTTTGGTGTTGTTTCTCTTTCTAGACATTCTCGGTGTTCGGTTGTTGTTCATCTGCATAATACATGCTTTCTTGTCGTCCCTCATGTTGCCTGCCGGTTTGCCTTTCTGTAAGCTTGCCGCTCTGTCTGAATCTGAATTTGAGCTGAATTTCATCCCAGTGCAAAATATCTCCACGGCGGAGTGGGCTTGGGCAACGGAATTTTCCCTGCAGGTGCGGCGACTGCAGAGTTTGTAGCTTGTTTGATTCAGAGAGCTACCAAACTGTGCTTAAGGTTATCAGTATTTCATTTTTATTGTCTAATTATTTATGGTGATTTACCTTTTCGTCCTTGAAGCAGATTTCTTCCCTCTGGGACGAGCAAAAGGAGGCGGAGCTCGAGGCATATTGCGCTGCGTATACGATCTGGCGGGATCGCGTAAGACTGCATAACTCGCTTCTTAATAAAATATTTTTTTTGTTTTAACGCGTGCATGCACTTTCATAATTAATTATTGGTGTATTAACGATTGCACGCACTTATTTTCAGCAGCTAATTCGAGTTAAATTGGCGTTTCGGGGGGAGAAAGTGTTCAGAAAAGCTCAAGCGGGTGGCATTTACTCGTATTCCGTCGTCGATGGAACGGAGCAAGAAGGAGTAACGACTGCAATAAATGCGGGAGCAGCTACAGAAACCACGGCAGTTCAGATGAAAGCGGAGTTGAAAAGAGAAGAAGAACCAGAAAACGATGAAGGGGGGACAAAAGAAATTGTTTTATTTCGAAGTTTCAACGGAATGCCGCTCTTACCAACTGCAGCATCTGCCTGCCTTCTAACCAACAGCTTGAGGTATTATACTTTATTTGCTGAAATTTCCTTTTATTGTCCTCTTAACTTCCTTGCAAATGATCATTTGATTGTTTTTTTTATACTCGTTTTCGGGTTTTGCAATCAATAGTTCAATATTTCAGACATTTTTTCGCTAAATTTGGACAATATTTTGGAATTGAAGAATTCTCAAGCGATGTGCAGGCGGAAGACCAGACCACTGCAGATGACAATCTCCACAGGGTATATTTAATGCATTTAATTGCTGCATCGAATCAACACGATTGCCGCTGCATTACCCCAGTAGCTTAATTCAATACTGAGGTTTTGGTTTCTGTTCTTTGCCTCTGCTGTTTTTCATCTCGTTTGCTTGCAGATCGCCTACCGGTTTCGCGTGCAGACTGCAGAGGACCCGAGCTGGAGCCGAATAACTCTGGTACGGATCACTCCTGGAGTTTATAATTAAATATAATAATGAATATGAAAAGCTCGTGTAAGGAAAAATAAATAAATATCCACGTTTTCAGGCGGTTGATCTACGCAGCAATAAGTCGCTCTTCTGCTCGTTTGCAAAGAGCCACCTCCAGGTGAGAAACACAACATAAATAAGACCAATTCTGAAAGATAAATATATGCAACAAGAAATTATAAATTAAGTCTTAACATTTTGTGGAAAATATTTTTATTATCAGTATTACATTGTACTTAAGAAGTGTTTGCACGCTTTGTTTCGAAGTAATAATTTTTGTTGTTGTTATTACGTTGTAATAAGCAATTACTTGTATTTTCATGTAAATATTTTGACCCGCGTTCGTCCTCAGGGGGAGACAAGCTTGAGGGAGACGATCGTTTCTGCATTCCACAGTCTGTTCAACAATCTGCAGAAGAAATTTCCTTGGGGCTTCCAGAGTTTGAAAGACATCGCTGTGGGTCTTTTCGTAACAATGTTGGAGTTGCTGGTGTTGCTTTTATCATTAAAAAATTTAATATTATTTCCCCCGGCTGCAAAAGAATTGCAATCAACACATGTTTTCATCTGCAGAGGATAAAAGCAACGGAAGTATTCGCGCCCAGCATGGCAGCTTCTTTAGCTGGAATTATCTGCGCTTCCCCCAACCCAGAGTTTCAAAAGAAAGCGCTAAACCTCTTGAATTTGGGCCGTCTGTCTGTGTCAGTGAGTGCACCTTGCTTCTTATAAAGCCGTGCAAGTGCCTTCATAAGCAGCAATAACAGGGATTAACAAACAACGAATCCTCCACCCTTAATACCCTCAACACGCACGTCGCAAAACGCGCTAAGACGAGAGCGGCGAAGGAGATTATTCAAGACACAGTCCTAGAGATGGTTTTGTAAGAAATTCCCAAGCCAGGCCACAAACCCATTTAAGAATGAGAGCGCCATCATCTCATTATAATTATATTCTTTCTACTCCACTCGCAGGCGTAAACTTGAAACCGCCGATTGCTCCATCCCAAAAAAGAAGAACAAAAATTCTGATTTCAAAAGAAGAAAGTCTTCACCGACATTTTCTCCAGTATCTGAGGAGAGTCTCTACTCCGATTAAACGGAAACAAGCACAGCTCTAGTGCCATTTGTCGTTTTTCTTTGCTCCCCTCGCTGCACTGCTTCTGCGCGTGTAGGCACAATGTATATAATGATAATGATGGTTGCAACATCATCACATTCTTTGGAAGATGAGTGTACCAACAATAAGGAAAAACGGCAGAGGCGGGCGATACCTAGCATGCAGAACTCAGAATGATGAGTTGCACATATTTTCTGAAGCCCCCCTGGGACCTCGTTCGTTTAAGTGTGAACAAGATGCAAAGTACAGTCGCAATTGTTTCGAAATGCTCAAAAACTAAGTTCCATTCACTGCTAGTTGCTGTTTTTGTCGTGCGCCTGTGTACAAGCATGGGGAGTAATCAAATATAATCCACGCCCTCAACCCTAGAAGGCGACCGTCGTGAAATGCAACAGAGTTGTACTATTTTAAATATAATGATAACCAGATCACAACTTCCCCCTTGACTGTCCACGCGTGCTACACACGGCGGCTGAAGGGCCTGGGGCGGATGCCCAGGAGAGACAGAGGAGACAATTGACTCTGTCATGAGCTTTTACATTCAGGAAAAATTACCTCATCTCCTTTGCCATGCAGTGGAGGCAGTTCGAAACACAAAAATCGTGATACAACTAAACCAAATGTAGCGTAATATGTAGCAGTTTTAGCCGCGATAACGATCCCATGGAGAGCAGAAGAGGAAGAGCTCAGGAAGCGAGAGAAGGAATTCCAACTAGGCATACCGGCAGGTGCAACAAGGGCTAGTCGTGCACCAACACAACTGGCGGCCAGGGCACCCCAATACATGATGAATGACGGGGCGGGAACAGAGTCCTACCAATGCAAGGGCAGGGGGCACCTAGCAACGAACTCTCCCTCTGGAGATCCGATGGCGTACAAGCAAGGAGAGGCGTGAAGGAAATGTTGAGGTATAGGTCACTACGCTAGAGACTTAAACAACGCAGTAGGATATTGGAGACAAGAGAAGGGACGGGAGAGCAGCGAAAACGATCCAGTAGTGGGAAAGGGATCAGCGGCAGTTCCACGAGTTGACGGGGCAGGCGTTTATAAGTGTGAGAACAGCAGCAGTGCGTCGAGTACAAGGGAATGAGAGCCCTTGTAAGGCGCTTTTCGCTACAGGGGTTTCGGAAAGCCTCACTAGGCCTAAGACAGTCGAAACGCAGCGTAAGTCCCAGACGAGGAACACCGTCGAGAATGTTGAGTGGTGCGGGCTACCTGTTGACCGAACTAGTGTGGAAACACCAGGAAAGGTCATCATTCTAGGAGCGAGCCAGAGGCCCCCTGAGGAGCAGGTATGCGGGATATTGGACGAGAAGTTGCAGCCGTGTCGGCAGTCTTCTCGCGCACTAGCGCGCGCAGTGCTCTCACACTCGGTATTTGGTTGCACAACGGTATAGCTCACACACGTGAAGATAGATGAGAATCATGCCCATTACAATCCAGAGACAAAAAGCAGATCACTAGGAATGGAAGAAGAATAAAGGAAAGGAAACAGAAAGAAAAGAAGCGAATAGAGTATCCTGCACTGTAGAAACCCCACTATCCTAGGACCGTGGAACAACCCAATACCGAGACAACACAGGCGGGTAGAAGAATAGAGAAATAAGGAATTAGGAATAACACAACCTAACGGAGCCGGGTTCAGTCCGGGAGGGGGCAAAGTTGTAGTTGCACACGCACTACCGTGCAGCTCAAGTGGAACCCTCAGCGACCTAGTTAGCTGTAAAAGAACGAATACAATACTTATACAGACAAGCTGTCTTACTTTAGAGAGAAAGTTAGGATAACCATGCCAAGAATGCTAAGCAGCCACACCAGGTTGGGGCTGGCTGTGAGACTGCGCTTGAGACTCTGAGTGCAGAGTCAAGATCAGGTTTATGTTTCAGAGATTTCCCTTTTCAATATATATGGACTCTAATATGTCTTTAAAGGAAGATTGCTCGAATATTTAGGCCGTGATAGAATAGATAGACTGTGTTTGGTAAATAGATATAAAGTTTGCACCCCGTTAGGTTAACCTAGGATACCTACGTAGTAACAGCAGAGCCCGCTGTTCACTACACTGCGCCTGTTGCGCGAGTGTGCCGGGCCGGAGAGTCCATCGCCTTGTTCTCTTTTTTTGTTTGTTTAATGAACAACAGTAAATAAATCGTCTAAGTAACTCTAAATAATTCTTTTCCGAGCGCTCCTGGCTCAGAGTTGGCGGCCTCGCTTCCGAAGCCACTGCAGCCCTGATCCGCGTGCTCTGTGTATTTGTTTATCGTTTCTGTTCATGCTTGGTTTGTTTTCTTTCATTTTCAAGCGCTGATTGCGAGATTCTACAGGAAACGTCCACAAAATGAAGGGTTTCGGGGCAGACAAGTCTTCGGGGCCCCCCGCGAGGAGTACTTATAGCAGCGTTCCTGGTGCTGGCGATGTGCCCAATCGCCTGGATTTGGGGGGCACTCGGGGTTTAATTGGAGTTCTGTTTCCTTGGACTCGCGTTGAAATGACGAAAGACATGATCTGCAAAGGCGCGATAAGTGCTTTCGTGGGGGTCCTGCTAGGCATCGTATCTTCGCTCATAGTGAACTGCACGCTGGTGGAAATATCGGTTTCTTCTTTCTTTTCGGTTTATCTTGGCATCGTATTCATCACAGTCGGCGCTGTCATTCTCTGGCGGATCAACGTAAATGCGGATGAGGCCTCCCATGGCCGGAAGCTGCAGCTGACGTTCTTTGCCGGTTTGATCGTGTTTTCAGGTGTTTTGTGTTTTCTGCTGAAGCGCAATTGGTTTGTGGGCCTGCATCCGTTGCTTAAGGTGCCGCTTTACACGGTCTTGGGTGTATCAGTAGCTTTTGCTCTGACCTTTTCGCTGGTAGATGTCGTGAATTACCTCTTTTCTTTCTTCCAGTCCTCAGTGGCTAAGCCGCTCGTCGAGTCGCGCGAACAGGCCTACATGGTGCTATTCTTCACTCTCGTCATGGGGGGCATCTTCGGCTGTATATTCGGCATGATGGATGTAGAAGATGAAATGCAGTACCAAATCAAATTGGCACTTCTGCGCGAGCAGCAATTCTGCTACCCCCTTGGCGCCATCATAGGCGGCCTCGCCGGCTTCAGCAACGAAATCCTAAGACAGGCAGAACAGAGAATTCGTTACTGCTCAACGGAATTTGATGAAGACATCTAAATGCAATAATCAAGGAAAGCTCAATACAGACACCTCAAACGAAAAAGATATCTCAACAACAAACTGACAAACCAGCAAGGAAATGCTCGCTATCTAACCTGCTGGCTGGATAGCGAAGTGAGCTACCTGCATAGCTCGCCAGCTAGCTAGCTAGCTAGCATGCCGTGTTGGTGGGGCGTTGGTTTGGGGGACAATGTGGATATGCAGGAACAGCGTCCGCTGCGGCAAAAGACGAGCAGTCGAAAGCTGCCCTACACCTTGGAGTGTATGCACAGTCGGCCAACCATCGTATTCCCTATCCAGCTTAGCAGTTTAATAAATTAAATTTAGACTTGAAATCGGTTCTTTGGTCTGTTTGCTTGCATTTGCTGTCGGCATGAACTGCGTTGAACCGCGGCAGCAGCCACGCACTTTGACACTTTCCCCCCGCAACATAACTAAAGGGGGGATGGAGGGGGAGGGTTTTGGCCCCCTACCGGATATGGGGGCCCCTGCCGGAAGTAAGGGCCCCCGCCGGGAGTGAGGGCCCCCGTCTGCGGATGTGGCTCCACCCCCCGCCCTCCGTTCTGCAGCAATAACTGCACAGGGGCCGTACCGCTGGTTTTTGAGTTTTGGCTTCCAACGCACCTTCGATCGAAATGTTGTCATTAAGGCACTGTACGTGCTGCATGCAATGCATGAAGGGGGGCCCTAGAGCCAACCGGGGGGGCCCCCAGGGCCAAGCGGGAGCTCTATGAGGGCCCAGACGTAGGGGTTATTGGATTTTGCAGAACTTCGGGTTTTATATCGAAATTAGGTTGAATTTTGAGCAGCAGAATGCGTTTTTGTGCTTATATATACACCTTCAGGTGTACGTGGAGCTCCAAGAAAGAAACGACGTACACATTGTACAGGACATCGTATATGTGCTCAGTGTATTCATAGTTCTCCGTCTGCCTCCCTGCAGCCCTTACAGTTTAGGGTTTACAGCTACCGCCGAGGAGATAAAATGACAGCATTAGAGCAGAGGAAACATTAAACAGCGAGAACTATACCTCGAGCTCCGTTTGTTGCAGATATGCTGCATGCTGTATACATTGGGTTTCGTGGTGTTGCATTGCAGTACATGAATATCTCCGGTGTTTCCTTTATGCTGCAGTAACATTACACCCATATTCGCAGTATGAATTGGTGCCTCTATACAAACGCATATTCACACAGCTGCACAGAGATAGCTTGCACAATGCACAAAGATCGCCCCTAGTCCAAAAAAAACTATAGAGTGCGGATGGGAAAGCCGTCAATGTAAGCATTGCCGAACATGAGCAAAAGCTTCAACAGGGCTTAGGAATTACGGTTTGACGCTTAGAGTGTAGGGTTAGGTAGGGTTAGCCTGTGAACGTTTTGGTTTACTCGGGATAACTGCGGCTGCCGACCCTAGAAGCAATTAGAGACTGCAGCGAACGGCTCAATATATCGATTCTCAGGGGCTCCTCCCCCGACTTCTGCACTCGTAAGGAGAATTGAATAAGGATATGTCGTAGTGGGGCCTCTGCACGCAATTCCAGGTAGGGTTTAAGGTGAAACGTGTAGGGCAGACGCCGCGTGGATAGGGTTTCGGGTTTGGGCTTTATGCTGTAGGGAGGAGAAGTAAAACTTAGGAATGCGGTTTCAGGGTTTTTTTTTGAAGGGTGTGCTGTTTAGGGCTTCTAGGGGTTCAGGGCTTGGGGTTTTAGGCGAACGTTTCGGTGGTCCGTCAACTGCCGTATGCTGCGCTCTGTCATTTCCAGTGTGTGAAGAAAACAGCAACTTGGCTTTATACGTTTGTGTGGTGTTTTATGTTTGTTTTCTGATGAATATCAATGAAGAGGAGAAATGCGGCTGTCCTTCTGGGGTGCACAGACACACCAATGGCTGCAGCTGCACGCTCGGTTTTCTGTCGAAGATGCTCATGGGCTTCAAACTCTAAACATGGGGCTTTAAATCTCTTAAACGCAGAAACTCACTCTATTTGTTCGCATTATACTTTGGAATAAGCCTTTTTGAGGCTTCAATGGATGAACGGAGAGCCGACGCGATCGCCCGGCGTCGATGCCGCGCGGCGGTTCCCGTGCGTGTGCTCCCTCTGCAGAGTTAAGGAGCGGCTTTTATCCCTTAATTGACTAATTAAAACAGCAGAGTTTGTGAGTTTTTATTAACGGGGGCGAAAGACATATTTTGAGGGGTTATGGTCGGTGGTTTCCCTAGAAGACGCGAGACTACGCGCACTACGGGTGCCCACCTACGTCGTGGGGTGTACAGGCGGGCTTAAAGTTCGAAATGCATTTAACAAAATCAAACTTATATTTTGTTTTTAAATTGCATTTCTGCTTTTCCCAGGTGTAGAAGACGGTATTTTCCTCAGTGAGAAGTGCGGCACACTCGCGTCAGTGGCTTAGTTTCAGCGCAGGAGATGCCGCATTGCAAAAACGTGAAATTTGGAGGGCAATTGATATTTTGGTTGTTTATTCTTGGCAATTTTTCTTGAATTGTACATATTAACTAAATACAACAAACTAGTTTGACTATTTTAGGGGGTTTCGGGAAAGGGGTGGCTCGTTTCTTTCTCTCTGGTCTTCCTACTGGCCCCGCAGCACGGTTCCCTCTCCTCGTCGGGCTTCCTCTGCTTTTTGCGTCTTTTCCTGGTGCGTTTTCCTGATCGTTTTGTTGTTTTTAGCGAAAGTATCTACCACTGCATGCGCATATCTTCTAGTGAACTCCCCTAGAAGCTGCGCTGGTGGTTGCCGATCCGTTGAGGTCTCTCCTCTCGTCCCCGCTCTCTGCTTTGTGTGAGCAGAGAAGCAGAACAAAAACAACAAACAAATGAGTCAAATGCCCATTTCTAATTTTACAAGAAATATCTGCATGCAGCAGAAGAGCGGCGGCATTGCATGGACTTCGTTTTCTCGAGTGCAGCTTCCCTCCTCTCCTGTAGACCTGTTTCGGGTGTACGCACAGCGGCGCGCATCAATACATCTCATTAATGACATAGACAACGATCTTCTCGCGTTGAATGGCATTCATAAAAGTTTTTTGGGGCAGTTTATAGTGGCTTTCGCCGTTCACTGAACAGATTCATCGTTTGAGAACTCAATGAAGACCCCGCTCCTGAAAGTGTCTGCACAACTTAGCGCAGGAAACATTTCCCCATTGGGATTTCACTCGGCTTTGTCTCACTTTTGGTACTATTCCTTCTTACTGGATCCGAGAAATACCCCTCCACGGGGTCTTGACAAAATCCCACGGCTGCGTTAGCAACACCGGATTAAGAACAAATTGTAGCGCCTCTCCAGGTGTCTGTACACAGCAAAACATGGAGACTAGAAGTTCTGATGGAGGTGAGGAGCTTTATAAGTGGACAGGAGAAAAATGCTCCCCTGAAATGTCTGCTACAGAGCCCGTAAATGCGCACCTCAAGTTCACCACGCTTGGTGCTGCTGAACCAGCATCCGTTGTAAGAGCAGCAGCTGTAGCAGCAGATGCAGCAGCAGCGGATGCCGCTGCAACTGTGGAAGCAGCAGCAGCGAGCGGGGGGGATGCGCCAAATGAAGCGTCAGATGCTGGCGAGGATTTCTATTCGGAGTTGGGATGTCTTTCCGCCACCACCTGCCTGTTTGTGGGCCAAGAGGTGCGTATACACCTGGTGGACTTGGTGCGAACGCGCCTGACGTGCATTCCTTTATCGTACCTGGGGTCAATGAATTCGTTTTTTAGAGAGATGTACACCCGAGAAATAGAACAAGACGCGGAGCTAGCGGAGCTGTACGTACACCACAGTAGCAGCAGGAAGAACACTAGTTTGAGGCCCTCTCGACGCATAAGAGGCGTCATAACTGCATTTTACACAACTGAAGAGCAGCCGACGGAGAACGTGCTGCGTTTGGATTCTGTTTGTGGTTTAGAAATTTGTTTTCGTGTTGGGGTGTCTGTACATCTGAGCTCTCCCTCGGCTCCTGGTGGGAGTATATCTTCGAGCCACGATTTTGCAGTGTACAGACGGTGGGCTGTGCGCGACTTCCTTTCTCTTCGTCGCGTCTACTCTCAGAACTACAGCGTTGATATATTTGTAGAGAAGAGAACAGCAAGGGAAGGAGCCAGACGGCAGTTCCTCAACTCTACTCAGTTTTTCCTTAGTCTTCGACCGGACCTCTGTTGTAGCCAAGGGGCCTCAGGAGAAGAAGATCCCTTTCTCCTTAACGGATCGCCGCTGCCACCTCCGCCTGCAGCAGCAGATTCGCAATTCTTACACCCTGCTGCTGCTGCTGCTGCTTCTACTCCACAGAGAAAACGCGGGAGACCCCGCAAGTTCCCAAGGCCCGAGGAAACAGCCGTGGCGTCGGCGCAGGGGCTGTCACTGCAGCAGCAGCAGCAGCGTGGGAGCCCCGGAGGGGACCCCTGTGAGGGGCCCAAGGGCACCACCGTGCAGACATTTGGGGTAAAGGTGTACATATCATATGATACACAGGGCTCATCAGACACAGACAGAAATTTAGAAGAAGAAACAGCTGGAGATACAGTAGATACGGAGCAGAACAACTACACTGTCACGCGATCCAAGGCGAGCGCAAGACTGGCAAAAAGAAGAAGGGGTGCGAAATACATAAAGGGGCTTATTAAGCGAAAAAAATGCAGTAGACAAAGGGGTTTATAAGTAGACGAATAAGTTTAATAGATTATGAGGGTTTATTGGGAGATGAGGGCTTATTCTTTTTGGCCACGGTTGAGTGTCTATCTCGTTTGTGATTACTACGAGTTGGTGCTTCATATATAAACACACACCTAAACCCTAAAACCCTAAACCCTAGGCCCTGGCAGGCGAAGCTTTTGATGTTGCTGTGCTGCTGAGGGTGTGTGTACTGTTTGTTGCAGGAGAGGAAACACAACAAATACCAGCTTCTTCTCTACCTCTCGCGGAGGCCCATCGGGGGCCCTCGAGGGGCCCTTCGCTGGTGGCAGTCTGTGGACGTTCTGCTGCTGAGGGAAACAGCAAATGGATCGAAGTCGCGGAGCAGCAGCAGCAACAACAGCATCAGCATCAGCAACAGCAACAACACCAGCAGCAGCTGCGAGAGGAACATCCGCCGCAGGAGCAGCAACAGCAGCATCATCACGAAGGACGCCAGGAGGAGGGGCTTCTATCTCCATGTGGCTCTGTAGCATCAGGGGCTGGGGAGTTTCTGTCTCCATCTTTGTCTGGTTTTTCTTTGGCCCCTCATATAAATGTAGAGCCACGCGATACGTTTGAAAAAATGCTGCTGCCGTATTACCGTCGTTGCTTGCAGCTACTGTTATCGGGCCTGTTGGGGTGTCTGCACAGCATCCCATACACTACAGAGGCCCTAATAGAACGCCAACGCGCAATAGGCCAGTGCCTTCTAGCTGTTACTTCTCCCTGTATTAGCCTAGCAGCGTTACAGACCCTTATTAACCCCTTCGGGCGATGCATCAAAACCCATGCTGCGCCCAATGATCTGGATATACACCTGCAGCAGGACCTTGTAGAAGACGTCCTACACCTCTCCCGCTTCCTCGAACAACCTGCAGCAGCAGCAGCAGCAGCAGTAGCTGCAGGTGCAGCAGCAGCAGCAGCAGCTGGAACAGTAGCAACGAGAAACGCTTCAGCATCTGCAGCGGAGCGCAAGAGGAATACGATAACATCAGCAAGAGGAAAAACAGAAACAGTGGGAGGTAGCAGGGAATAAAAGAATGCAGACTTTGTCTTGTCCTCCTCCATTATCTTGTAGAATCTGATATATTAAAGGGCCTTCGTTGATTTTGTCTGTTTTTTGGTTATATTCATCTAGCGCCGAGATAGAAGGCGCTCAGCTTACTAAGTGAGTTTGTCTATGCTGATTTTGATATGTTCGATCCATAAGCGACTGTATATATATATATATATATATATATATATATATATATATATATATATATATATATATATATATATTACCTATATAGAATATAGATAGTATCTATATAGATAACATATATGCTTTATATATAGAGCATACGTATACTTTATATATGTTATATATGCAGCATATGCAGATTTTCTGTGTGGGTTTCCGTACGTTTGTCCCATAAGTGCATATATATTGGTAGATATACATATAGATATCTATGTTATGTATATAGAATAGAGAATACTGTTTGTCTGCTTGCGTTCTCATACGTTCGTCTCACAACTATATGCGTTATATATAAATATGTTATATATGTAACATGCATATATATACATGCATACTGTTCACGGTAGCGTTCCAACTGCGATGTTGCAGTTGCGCAGTTGATGGTGGAAAAGCAGAGCCGGAGGGCGAGAGATATCGGCTGCTGCTCATCTTGAATTAGCAGGAATGCCTCAGTTGTCTGTCTAGACACCGCAGAGTAACGAGTCATGGGGATAAGCGCTGTTCGTTTTTGTTTGTTTCTGTATTCCTTTCATCTCGTAATCCATCTGCGGGCACCTGCTTGGGGCCAAGCGCCCACCACACGTCAGTGAAAGCGCATTATGAACACACATTGCAAACCCCAACAACAATAAAGGTAATCGAGCTTTCCTCAATACCACGAGCCGTTTTAGGCCTGTCGCTGGCTGCCTTCGGGGTGTATCTCCGCCGGAGCCCCACATTGGCTTGGCTACAGCGAAAACAGATATCTTTTTTAATTGGCGTTATGCTCGTCCCCTAGAGGTGTTCGCATTCGCATATAAATGCAGGCAAGAAGTATGCACAGAGTGCAGCTGCAGGAACACGTTGACGCCGTTACTTCAGTGTTCTGATTGGCGGGGTTGAGTTTAGCGTTTCGCGGGCTGTGCAGATATTTCTAGGAGTCAGTTTAGGGTTTTCAGGAAATTCCAAGCAGTGCTTAGCTGCAATAAGCCTCTTTTGGGCTTTACAGACACCGCAGGGAGCAGCAGCCTCTGCCTGCACTCCCCGCTGTTTGTGCTGGCAGGCGCCGCCTCAGCCAAAGCCACTGACATATAAACAGGCGCGAGGACGAACAGTCGCCATTGTCATAGCTGTCTGTCCCCGTCTGTCTGTGTTCTCTCTATAAAAGTTTCTCACAGTAATACGTTACAGTGCATTGCGCTCTAATAATCTCCCTGAGGGAGCTGACAGTCTGGCTCCGCTCCCGGTGTATCCGCAGATGTTAAGCAGATGTCGCCACATCTACTAGTTGGGGTCTCTAGTCTCCGTCGAACTGCCACCTCCATCACTCTTCCGACGGAAAGGTGATGAGATAGGTGGGGGGAGGCGGAGTGGGTTGTTTTGTTTCTCCTGCTGACGCGCCTGATGTTGCCGTTGGGGCTGCACTTGTCGCTTCTGTTGTTGCTGCGGCGGTATGTGCAGCGCCTGTGGACAACCGCAGCGGCGCGGGCACAACTGAGGCCTCTCCGCGTCCATCGCACTCTCCTGCAGTCTTTCAGGGATATTCAGCTCTACTTGCTAGGGGAGATGAGGCCGCTTCAACATCTGCGTTGTCACCTTGCTGTTGTTTATCTGGCACAAACTGAACGATGGCTCAGTCGACGGGCAGCGCAACCGTGTTGAAAGCTGAGCAAAGCTTCAGGGCCGGAGGGTGCGTGAGGTACATGCCTAAGAGGAAACAACAAACACAAACGCGTAAGAACTACGGTGAAATACCAACCCTAAGGGACTGAGGAGAGACCGAAAACAAATAGCACGGAGCTCTAACTACAAGTATCCCGCTCTGCAAGATGTGAAATCGTGGTGTGCGTACACCTCACAAAACTCACATATCTCTGCATCAAACACAGCGATGAGGCTGCTGCTGACGAGGTGGTCTCCCTCTCCAGTGGGGCAGCCTTGGGGAACGACGACTGTGGAACATTTTGTGTTCTGGAAGATGAAGCGGTTGCATTTCTTCTTGTCATCGAGTTCAAGTGCGCACTTGAAGCCAACGTTCTCGTGGTGTTTGGGTTTGCCGGGTCTGTTGATTCGCAAGTCAAAGGAGTAGTTGAAGCGGGTCATCTGGCCATCCATGATGAGGTAGATGTCTATGTCTGTCTCGCTAGTCTTGATAGCCGTCAGCAGATAGTCGCGTCCGTACTCCAAGGCCCGCACCACCTTGGGTGACTCCAAATGCACCATGATGATGATGTTCGGAGGATGCATCAGCACCCCCAGACAGTCTACTTTCTTCCCCAGGCCGAGGCCGAGAATCGAAGTCGGCCGCGTGAGGTCTATGGACTTGGGGATAACAAATGTGCCCCACTGATACAGTTGCACAAAGAAACCCCAATCTCCAGATGCGCAGTTCACGCGCGGTATGGCCTCGCAGTTGGGCAGTGCCTCGAACCCCTTCACCACCATCGCGCCGTAAGCAAGTGCTGCATTTGAGGAGGGGTGAGAAACCACGAAACCGGCGTTATAGTCGACGCACTGCACCTTCACAGTGTGGCTTTCATCTATTGTCACCACCAAGCAGACCCGATCCGTCAGCCGAAATGCTATCAAGGACTCGTTCACAATAAAGAGCAGAGGCTTCCACGCCTTTGGGAAAGCTGGCAACCGTTCCGGATGAGAATACACCGCAACTTCGCGCAAATTAGGCGTCGACAAAAACACGTTCTTGTCACCCTCAATGCCCAGGTGACACCCGTGCTTACTCCAGCACTGTAGGTATAACAGGAAACCACACACGCACGCAAGCGCAGTCATATCCACGTAAATATGTATACCCAAGGGAGGCATGTAAATATACATACAAGCATACAGCGCTGCTAACAGAGCATCCCACAACCTGAGGCTACTTTTGCCTGGGCCTCGTACAAACAGCCCCAGCAGCCAGTTCGCCTCGTATGTAGCTGCCATCGGACATTCCTTGAAAGTGGGGGGTGAAGGGAATGTCAAGCAGAAAGTGATATTGGAAGAGGAGGACTGACCTTGACGTCATACTTGCCAGACTGAACACCGCTGAACACCTCGCAAACTCCTTCGACAGGCTCTAGAAAAAGCAGACGGTGGTCTGCAAAGAGTGTGGGTTTCAACGAAAGCTTCTCGCGGTCCGTCAGTCCCACCCATCCTGTAGAAGTGCGTGTACGCAAAGCCGAAAGACACAAACGAGGGAGACAAATTCACGTCGAAAGTAGGTCACAGAGTCTGGTATGATACACACAGGCGTATGCATGAACTCAAACTCCGTTTGCGATGCTCTTTTTTAACACTTCCGCTCGAGCCTAGCGAGAATGATTTGCTGCCGATTCATGCCTATATTCTTTCTAGGTAGTCACTGCCCCACCTGAGCCGTCGTAGTAGTTGTTCGCAGTCCACACAATGGCCTTCTCTGGCACTGCCACATCGACCAGTGGCTCGAACCTGCACGAGCAGAGTCTGTTTACGCCCTCCATTGTGCTCGGTTAAATATAGTTGCTTATTGACCTTCAACTGAAGCACGAGAAAACACAAACCACGAGACGCCGGCAATATCCTGGACAGGCTGTACAAGGCATCCCTCACGAACACGCCCCCAGCAGCTTCTGTGGCTGCCTCAATACACACTGTGCTCTCGAATATGTGACAGAATAAAACAGAAGAGGCTTAACACTCCAGCAAGGCAATGTTAGCCGCTGCCCACCCTCCAGGCAGAAACAGCCACCACACCTACTTGCCGACGTTTCACCCATATACACCCCCCTTGAAAAAACTAAGAGGACACTTTCACAACAAACTGAAGGCTAAATACACCCGTAAGTTTCAATCTCTAAGGTTTTACGCTCTTTTAAACACGTACATGCAGCAGTGGCTCAGCACACACACTTGCCTAAACGAAGTACAGGGTTCCAGATGCAGACGACTGTCTAAACCTGTGTGAAATACCTCCTAAGAGTAATATGGGGGGAAAAGAGAGAAATATACAAGGAAGAAGCCGAAGAAATTCTTTACGTGGGTGAGCCGGGTGCTTTCCGCATCATGAATTGTTGGCAGGCTCTGGCCTGAGTTGGTGTGCTTCGTCCAGCAGTGGGCACAGAGCTAGTGCTGTTCCCGTTTCCTACGATTTCTTCGCCTCCGTAGCCAAATAACTGTCAAATTTCGGTGTTAAAACAAAGGAATTTCACATTTTGGATGCTTCCGGTATAAACAACTCCCTTTTATCTATTACTCTGCAGCTGAAAAGAATCGAGCCCCTGCAGGGTCCCACCACACGAGCAGGCCCAGTGGACCTCTCACGGACTCTTGTGGTTGCTTTTGCTGTATTTCGACAATTTGCCTCATTGATATTAATTGTGCAGGACTTTCAATCTATTAATTCAGCAGGCATGACTGAAGCACTGACGTAGAGGAGGAATATCAGGGATTAGCAGGCACGACGGCTAGCAGAAGTGGTGCTCGTTTCGAGACCGCAAGCGCACTGCTGATAACAGGCCTATGATTCTTCCTGATATATAAAGAGAGACAACTGCACTATAGAACGGAAACACGGCGGGCACACATCCTTGACATTTGTGCGATGAGTGTAGGGCTTACTAGGATATTGCAACCGCGGAGGTTTGTGGGGCAGGTTGGTATGGTGTCTAAGGCATTAGTGCCACTGGAACCATATTTAGCGTCATGTTGATTCGAAAGCTTTCTGTGACTAGTTTCTGTCGCTGCCGTTAGCGGATTTGGGTCGGATTCCTCAACAGCTCTTGGGAGTGATGTGAGTTGCTTCGCGCTGTGCGTGATGCTCTGAAATTCACCCAATGTTTTAAACTCCTGGTGCACCTCCTCAACCGGCTATCTGCGTTGCTCAGACTTTCAACTGATGGAATCCGTCACCGTTGGTCGTCGGCTCCTCCACCACCAGCGCAACTCGTAGCATAACGACTCTAGGCCTTAGCTAGGGTGCGCCTCCATCGTTTTTAGTTTCTCTCGCTCGCACCTCATATTTTTAATGACATTTTAGTAATACCTACTGCAATAGTTTCACTGTGTGTAAACTATTCACCTCCCAAACAAATTCCCCTGTCAAGCCAGCTCCAAGCTGTCCTCCTTCCCGAAGTTATTCACAGCGCGATCTCTAAAATCTCATGTAGATTCTTGTTTCTTCATACAGACACCAATTACCCACATTCTTTCGCTGGAGCAGGTTGCATTGAAAAATTTGACTCACTAGCGCAATTATACGGATAGCCGCAACGAAGCCATCTGGCTAACTCGGAGCGAATGTTACCATGGTGATTGGTCTAAGAGGCTTCTTAGCTGTTTAATGCTGTTTTAATGACGTATATCGCGGTCACCTCATACGCTTCATAGGCTGTGGGCTGCTTGAATTGCCGTTAATTCCACCAGCGTCATCTAACAGTCGAGTACACGTCAAAGCGCTGATAGTATGTTTACGCGACAAAAGTATTCCAGTCCATTTAGGCCCCTTTTCTATTCCAAGTTTTTACTTCCAAAATCTTTTGAATATTTTGGGACGGAGGCAGCGCGCGTGTGTGTTTGTCGAGCCGAACGGTCTGAGCTCATATCTACGAAGGTTTCCTTCAGTCCCCCATAATTCCCTAGCGACTTATAGCTCAAGCCATATCATTGTTTCAATTCTGAGATTCGTGCTGCTTATTTGTTTCAGTAGTTGCGGCAAAGCTACCACACGACTGATGCGTTCCTTCACGCCACCGTTCAACGCAGCGGTAAGGCGGTTTAACCAGCAGCTGCAACCGAAGGCGTTTGTTCCGGCCTCAGGTCGAGATGCGTATATTATATCCGTTAACAAAGACGTGCAGATGAATAGGCTTATGTTGGCCTTGTCATCCGTTGACACAACCCCTGCTATTGGACGGCTGTTTACGACTGATGCGGTTCGGATGGCTCCGGAGGAACGGTAGAAAACTGCATCTCAGTCTTACGAATACACAGTAATGTTCTTTTGGCTCAAGGGAGCCCCTGATACCTTTCAAGGTAATAGAAACAGTTATATACTTGCGTTTTCGGGACGGGAAGGTATTGCATACCTAGAGGATGTTCTTATCAGCTCGGTAGAGCTGGATACCGGACGCCACGCGTTAAGACAAGTCTTCGATGGTTTCCTGCGCACGCAGAGCCACCTGGAGCTTCGCCTGTGCCAGTTCGACGTGCAGGAGCTCACCAACATGCAGTAGATGGCCAGAGTGGACGGAATCAAGCTAACCCCAGATACTGTCCAAACAGTACAGTAGTGGCCTGTGGTGCTGATCAATGTGCACCGACAGATTCGGCAATTCCTGGATACTGTAAACTGTTGTAGAATGCTTGTGGGGTCGGGGCTTGCAGAGGTGGCACAACAGTTAGTGGATATTACCTGCTCTCATTTCCCTTTCTAGAGGGATGAAACTCGTAACCAGGCTCTCAGGCGTCTGAAGCAGCCTTTCGTTTGTTACCCCACGTTGGAAGTACCGGGCCAGAGCAACAGCAATACGTTCTACCCATATGCTTCGGGATACGCGGTCAATGTCGTTCTGAAACAAGAAACTCGTTGGTTCCCTTAAGCGATGTCACCTGCACAGCAGAAATGTTGAATTTAAAATCAAGAGTTCTTCGCGCTCGTCACGATCTTGTATTAAGTGCAAACAACTGTTACGGGCAGCTAAGGTCATGGCATATACGGTTTATGAAGGTTTAGCGCACCTTTAAGGGGCCAAACCCTGGCATGGAACAGCGGGACGTAGGTTGGACTTCCTCACAGATTTTCATCTCCTTCGTACTCCAGCAGATTCACGGGACCAAGTAGCCATTCCGTCCATCCAGTACATTCAGCTGTAAACCAACGTTTATCTTCAGCAGCTGTGAAGGAAAAACCAGTGGAGGGACCATGCCGATATCAGACGTGACGTCGTCCTTGGATTTATCGTGAATCAGATGCAGGTTTCCCCTAATGACGGTGTTCCTCCTGAGGTATCACAAGATGTAGATCCCCCTACCAGTACACCGGCTTGGCTTCCATCTTCAGATTCCGAAGCGGGAGACTACCCTCATCCCTGTCCACCATTCACCGACTAGCTCTCTTCAATCGATGTTGAGTTTGCAGTGGGCGTGTCTTCCTTTGCATGTTCTGCCGTCTACGCTTAGTATCCCGTATTCGAGAAGGCCTTGCGAAGCTGAGGTGCAAGCAGAGGGTTTACCTACAGATGAGGAGGTGTCTCGACGCCGTTTCTCCTTTCGTTTTCCTTTTCTTCATTTGTAGGGTTACCAAACGGTGCTGTGGAAGATCTGTGCGCCATACTTTCCGGAATATTTGACGCATGTCCTGCATATGCACCGGGCGTACGTCACGGCGGGGCATCGACGGGAGACGAGGATATACTAAGCTCTTAGTCGACACTGCAACTTGCCCGGTCGGCATGCTTCTAAGACAAGCTATGGAGATTCTTCTGCTCAGTGTAGAACCTCCAACGTAGCCTGCCAGAAAGCCACCGGCTTGCTTCAGTTTCTGGTTATGCCGTTACAAAAGAGAGTCACGTTAGCCGCCAACCGTGAACGCCGTGAACGAGCCCATCCTGCCTATAGTTGACTCGTTAAGCAAGACAACTCGCTTCATTTCAATTACCAAGACAACTACCATGTTTAGGAGAATTGAATTAGTAACATATAGACTAATAAGGTGTGCTAAGCACCCAGATACGTACACTACGGATAGAGGCCCTCAATTCCAATCAGAGCTGTGGAAGCAACTCTGTTCCCATTGCTCCCATTTCGATGGCAGCTGCGCAATCCCTACAGCTTATTATCCGCAAACAGACGGCCAAATAGGACTTGTCAACCGTATACTTTAAGGAATTCATCCTTGCTAATATGCAGTCAGGTGAGGAGGGGGAACGCTTTCTCCACGCACTCGAGTGTGCATATAATACGGCAAGCCACTCAGCGAAACAGCTGGGCAGCTTATCTTCTACGTTCAAACCTCGATATCATGCTCCATTCGCTGTTACGGGACATATCCGTACTGATTGTAACTGCGACGAGCCTACGACTGTCACGACACATTCCATGCCTCGCAATTCATCGGTGATAGGGCAGCAGGCCCTCGGATGCTTAGCACGAAGGCAGCAGTTGGTTGGAAGGGATGCTCAGAGCAACGCGACGGACAGTTATGAAGCTGAGTACACTATGGTCCAATGTGGTGAAGGCGAACATGCACATCATCTTGTCAAAGGATGAGGTACCCCAGAGGAGAGAGCCACTTGTGAGCCCGTATATCATCTACAAGGCTGTACGGTTCTACGACGAGCCATCGTGCTCGTACACTTGAGGAAAATCACACCTCTGAACTGCTACTACTATGCAGACTGAGTACGACCTCGTCCGGGATCGGCAGGCCAGGATAGGTGACCTGTTGTTAAGCGTCAATTGCTAATTGTTAGTCGCTTATTGTTGGACGACCATATGGACTATGTGGGGCACCTAAAGCCCTAGTGGCCAACCGGGCGTGGGAAGCCTGGGCAAAGGAGGAACGTTTACTGTGTGTAAACGTCTGTCGACAGGGGGGATGTTGTAGTTCTGTGCAGTGCAACCCTAGTAGCGGTAGCCACTGCTAGAAGTGTGGAAGCCAACACTAGTAACGCATTAAGGACTATGTGCCGAAATTACTAAGTGAGGAATGATAACAAGTGTACTTCGCTAGATAACCTTGATGAGATATGGTTTTTGTTTAATGAGGGTGCGGACACATAAAGGGACAGCCAGCAGTGCGACCGAACCCGGAGCGGGGGCCGACCCAAGCCAGCTATTGCGCATGCTGTATAGGCAATGCATACAAGCCAAAAATATATTTCCTAAGAGCGATTTGGAGCCACGGAGCAGCATGGTTCCGTTCGGCGGGTCCTATATTTCCCGCCTTTTGCGGGACCTCCCTCAGGAGTGCTGCTGTCCCAGTTTGACGCGCTATGGGGACAAAGACACGAATTCTTGCATCCTTCTCCTTTCTCCTCGCCACATTTACCGGAAGATCATCGAAATTAGCAGTTAGTGAACGAGAATAATTATCTTGGCCTAGCCGATGTCCCGCACGGCGCCTGTGATCCGCTAGCCAGCGACTATAAACCCGCGGGCGCTACAGGGACCGTCCCCTACCCGAGGCCAACCGGAGTCAGCAACTACGCGAACTGGATAAGCAGCGCGAGCGCACACACGCACACACACACAAACACATAAATACACACACACAAATTATTTTTCCGTTGAACAATTTGAACCCACGGAGCAGCACGGTTCCATTCGACGCGCCGTATATTTTGCCCAGTATGCGTAACCTTCCTTAGCACTGCTTTCGCCCCAGTTTGACTCGGTATGGGGACAAAAACACCAATTCCTGCCTACCTCCCCCTTCTTCCAGCCCCATTAGCCGGAAGATCACTGAACTTAGCCGTTAGTAAATGAGAATAACTATACTGACCTAGTGACTGTCCAGCACAGTATCGAAGATCCGATACTCAACAACTGAACCCCCGGGCAGTACACCAGGACACTACACTGAGGTCCCTCTATTGAAGCAGCAGGTTGCGAAGTGTTTACTTTCCCAGTAAATCACTTGCCCACAAGCAACGCTGATGAAATTCGGATTTTGGTGCTTGTTGTGGGGGCCCTTATGGAGAGAGCGATGGTTATCTGCATTGGAATCGCTCAGCACCGACGACACGACACACACCCATGACTCTTATTGAAGGTTCCTAAGCCCTCATTCAGACCAACCTGTGCCTACTACAGCAACAATTATGAGTCATTTCCCCAGTATGCATGCTCGAAAATGGCTCATCTTGGCAGAACTCGTGACCAAGTCCAGGAGTTCTCCCTGCAGGACGTACCAGCCGGCAAGCTGGCCTGGACTCACTGCGCCGAAGAGGGCTTTGTGACGGTGAAAATCTTGAAATGCGACGTCAAAACGGGAAAGGCTCAGGTGGTTCTCGACGCAGAAGGAGCTTCGAGCGTGGCAGCAGCACAGGCAGCTGCCGACGCAGTTCGCGAGACTTCATCAGGACCATGCACGACCGCAGGAAATGCTCTTTTTGTTGAGGATGAATCAAAAGCTCAAGATTCACAGCACCGCACCGAATCGTCCGCTGGAAGCATATCTTCAGGGAAGAGAACGAAATTACGTAAAGAAAAACTGAGCACTCCCTGGTCGCTGGAATCCCCGGAGGCGGCAACCGAAGCATTCGCCGACCCCCTGTCTCAACGAGGCGCCCACGGACTGTCACCTAGATCTTGTTTGCCGGAGAGCGAGACTGATGATGATGAATCGGAGGGGCTCTCAGATGCGCCGAGAGATCCTTCTAGCGGCACCAGTTTTCCGGTAGCTGACGTAGGGGAGTGTCCCGTACCCACAGCAGAACAGCTCGAACATCGGGCTGCGGCGGCAGCAGCAGCTGCTGCTGATGCAGTCAGTGCCAAGTTCATCTCCCAGCCGCCCTTTGAAGTCCCCGTCAACCACCTATGGCCCTACAGTGCACCCCCGTTGCCACCGCACCCGATGCCAGATGACAGCGCCTGCTGCGGAACGTTGTCTGCAGCCGCTCTCCTTCAGCTGCTTCAACATAGGTATATTCGTGATGAGATTTACACCTACGCAG